CTCTTGAAAAAATTAATTTTTTATAATTCTCCTTGATGGAATCAAATATTTTTCAAATAATTCAGTCCATGTTCGTAGAATTCATATTATTATCAAAATTTGTTATCATTTTGATTAAATATCCCATTGTATAAATGGAACATGAAATATTGATGTATTACTTCTCTTTCATTGTGAATTACCGTGCCGATAAATTGCACCTTGAAGTTTGATCCTTTTATCGATTACTAATCAACTGATGATAACGTTTTATCTTAGTTGACGAATGTATTTTTAAGATGGTGGAGCAAAGAAAAAAAAAAAAACGATAGTATTTTTAGTTTCACCTGTGATAAGGCATGAGCCTGAAAATATAATTCTACATTAGAAGAGTTAGTTTTATTCCCTACATTTTTTAATCAGCAAAGAACATTTTGATAATAAATTCGTTTAACAGATTTCGAAATTTCGTAAAACAGACCTAGCCCATTTTTACGAGTAGAAATCAAGTTAAACGAACGGGAACGGAAATAATGCGTAACACTTCCTGTATGACTGATGGGTGGAACCGCCTTCGACAAAAGGATTTCAAAAACTGAGATATAAAGTAATTTCTTGTAAATTCGTCCCCCATTGCATTAAGCCAATATCTCGTCTTATCCAGCTTACTGATAACGATTTTGATGATAAGACCATTAACAAGCATTCTTAACGTATCGTTAAACAAACAACTTACAAAAAATATGTTATGTAAAGAAATAGAAAAGATTCGATTCATTTTCTATGTTTGCTACGAGAGTTTCTTTCAAATATGCGACGCAACGATCCCCGTTATGGCTCGCATTACATAATATCGCATTGATAATATGTTATTCAAAAAAATTTTATTATAGCACTTACCGCTTCTGGAATTTCATGATATTGAAGACGATTCATGTAGCCAGCCGTACCTTGTGAATACAATTTCGTGAAGCCATGTTGCGGTTCGATCCAAATCTCAGAAATTATTTGGAAATCGCCAAAGTTTTCTGCATCGTCCATACTAACTTCAGTACCTTAAAATCGTAACAATTCACCTAAGTATCATACTAAAGGGCGAGGCTAAGTATCATACAAAGGGCAATACTCTTAGCAAGTTGAATGCCACGGGGATCACCGGTGACCGGCATTCAACTTGGCAATGACGCCATGGGGACCACCGGTGACCGGCGCGCCCAGATTGATAGAAATATATATAATTTAAACAAATGACAATACTTCGCGAAATCGCACTCCACACCACGGGGGTCACCGGTGACCCCGTCGCAATTAACATGTCAAACATTGTTATACACTGTAACTTATATATTACAGATAATATTTGAACATTATGTGCATCGCATAATAGAAAATTCATCGTGGCGCCATGGACAATCCCTATAAAATTGGCGTGGCATTCAACGTGTTAACAAGGGAAGAAACGAGCCATTTAACATTTTTATATACAGGGTGTTTGCGAAATCGTGGAACAACCGGCAAAGGGATGATTCCTTGTGAAGAGAACACCTTGTACATTTACCTTCATCGGTGTCTTCTTCGGAAGTACTATCTCGCTCGGATATCGTATTAGACGTAACATAAGGCGGGAACAACACGTATTGAATAATACAAGGATAACATTCATCGTTCTGTTTAACGCCGCACATTTGAACTTCAAGGACCATATTCAGTATACCCGATGCGGAATACGTGAAGTTGAAACCCTCAGCTAGACGCATCCTACACAGAACGCATTAAATGTAATGCTACTAGTAACAAAATATCAACTTAAAATTGCATAGTACATTTATCATTCTGTTTTATTAGAAATAAATTCGTAACACTCACTTTGTAATGGTAGAGAGAATTCTCGCAATCGCAGTTATATTTAATCTTGGTAACACGACACCTGGTATGCTTTGTACAAACGGTCGCTTAACGTGCCACAACCATCTATTATGGTACAAATATCTGCAAACGATACAATATTTTCTTTACTCATAAAAGGAATGTGAACAGAAATTGAGACATAAGGACTATTACTAAGAATTACCTAGACAAGCTAGCGGTAATTCCTCCGGAATTGAGCTTGTTGTATTCGTCAGGAAAATTGACAACAGTAAAATCCTTGGGCATCCTCTCATATCTAATCAAAATCTTCTCTAGCGATTTCTTGATGATCACGCACGACGGTGTCTCTTTTTCAGTGTTCCTGTTAGGCAAAGTGAGCTTCGCGAGTCTCTCTAATAAATCGCCGACCACGTTGTGCCTGACGGCACCTTCCGTGCCAGCGGCGAACGCAATATTTAATACAACTACCAAGTTCTTCGAATTGATCCGTATTAATGAAAAAGAAACAGGCGGTTTGTCAATTTCCCGGTAAATGAATTGTACGTAGGTATGATTCTCGACCAGGACGAATGTCGACCAATTTTTCAGCATAGCCGATAGAACAGCGAACGATTGCCGGCTTTGTATGCTTTGAAATCGACCGCTTTGGTTAGTCAATTGTAAGTGTCGGGGAAGAGGTCGGTCGTGCGCGAGGAGAAGAGTCAACCGCTGCGTGTGCATGTATCGAGACCAGTGCGTGGAACTCAGCGAAACTACTGGCTGATATATTTGGGCGAACTGTGGACACGCCGCATCGCTGAAGATAATAAAAATAGTAAATATCCTAATTTCTACTCATTTACATAATCCTGGCGAACGTTTCATAGTAAAACTCGCACCTTAATTGCACCGTACTTGGCGAGGGATAAGCCGATAAATAAAAGACTGGCATTCCGCTCCTAATCGTGTCTGGAACGCTGTACCAAGTCCATCCAAACTCTGGAAACCAACTAAAATGCGCTAGCATGTTGTCGCTCTCCGTCAGCGACGTCAACGTTGCCCAGAATCGATTCACTACGCCTTGCCGGTAATGGGACTTCAATGGTTTCTTTGATAGACAAGTGATATCGTGCAGAAATTCGTAGGGAGCTAACGAAAGAACAGAGTTATTAATCAATATAAGACGAGACTTTATAAAAACAAATTCTATGTAAACCCACCTTCTATACTAATCGTATATTGTATACAACTGGAAGCAGACAACGATTTAGTCGTCCACGGACAACTTATATCGTATTCTAAGAGTACGCTCGATTTCCATAACAAAACGAAGCTTATTTCCAGCATTTCATCTTTGATATTCGCATATTTTATCAAATATCCTTCTCTCAATCGGCAACACAATAAACTGCTCAACGTACAAGTAACTTTATCCTCGATTTGCTTCTTCTGTAAAAGTTGCGTCGATTTTTGTTCGTAAAATAACGTATTCCTTAAGGTCCAATTGATGTTGCTATTATTATCGTAGTTATGGTTGCTGTTATCTGGTTCACGATATAACAGCCAGCATAAAAAGTTTCTTTGATACACATTCATTTCGGTTCCGGTTTGATTTATCTGTAAATGATAGATCGATCAATCTTAGATCTCGTGTACAGTTTAACGTGTACAGGTAGATTCAATTGAAGCCCAGTAGAAGTTTTATGCTTAATAGAATAGATTATTCTGTACCGGGTATGGTATATAGGACATACAAACGCCTAACGTTGCTCTAGCGACAAAGTGCAACAAGTCTTGGTAGGGAACCAGTCCGTCGCCACAGTGCGGGTGGTAAGTACTTCCGACGTGCAAGAAGCTGCAAGCGATCGTTGTTGCTCGCAGTTGTTGCATCAGGAAATCTAATACGGGACCGTCCGGGTTACCAAGGATACCGTCAGTAACTATGATCATATCTGAAGAAAGCCACTGATTATTATATGTACATGCAAAAAGGATTGTACTGTATCTTTCTTTCAACTTACGCGCACAGCTGTACTCCGGAAGTAAACTTAACGCCAGCATCCCGTATCTCAATATATTAACAAAACTCGATTCTGGCGATGTGATCGGAGTAGTGGACACTTTGTTCGTACAAACGTTCTCCTCGAACAATCCGCCGACTAATCGTTCGTTCTCTGCCCGCAAACTTTCTATTTGTTGATTCACCACGGATGTAACGAGCGCCACTTTTCCTTCCAATAAATGAAGCTGCTGTTTTACGTAAACTGTCAGTTGATCAATGTTATCCTTCGTTGCTAGCCAACCCTGTACCAATACTTGCTGCGCGGGGCTAGTGAAGAACGGAGTATGGGCAATTATCGTGACGTATATCTCAGGTTGAAAGACCCTCTTGCACCCTGGTAACGTGAACTATAATAATAATAACAATAATACGTTTATTGTTAATTATAGTAAGCCTGGAATTTTAAATATTATCTATTTTGTAATTACAGGTTTAATAATATTTTCCAAGAAGTTTTTAGTTGCCGTATAGACTTCGTCTATGACTATTTCACCATGTTGGATATCCTACAATACAACATTAGAAAATAGTATAATAATTCTTGAAAAAAGAATGAATGAAAATTAAGAATGTTTACCACAGTTGCCAAAGAGGGACTCAGGTCTAAATTGAAAACCATTCTATACTTATGGGCTAAAAATATTATAGTAGTCTTTGAAGTAACTTTATAAGCGAATCTATCGCTCATTTCCTCTGACCAAGATTCCGGTCTACTCTTTGGGGAGACAGAAACTATTTCCAGCTCTTCTGCCTCTTTGTTCTTCACATTTTTAGACTGGGTAGTGATCACTGTGTCCAGATGCTCGAGCATCCACTGAGCTCTCACATTTCTAGATATGGGAAACCCTTTTTTCATCAGCAGATATACAACGTCTGCTTCAAGAATAATTTTGTCCTACAACAAACAGTATTCCCATATATTAATACACACCTTATTTAATTATTATTATTATTTTCTTTATCTCAGGATATTATTGAAAATTTTTCAAACACCTGTGAACAGCTATTCTGTTAACTATCTACATGTTTGAATATTTACCTTGATCTTTACAGAGGCCATCTCGTTCTTTATTTTATTTAATGATTTATCTTCATAGTATTAACACTGGACTTTGTAAAAGAAACGTGGCTCTATCAAATTACACGTTGGGGAAGGCAGTGAACAAAATAAGAAACAGATTCTTTATAAACGACCTCTCGTTCTTAAACTATCTTATTCTTTATTTTATTATCGTTAGTTAAAACAAGTCTTATGTGTTTCATTGTTAACACGCAGAATATGAGCATATATATCAGTGAAGTCTACGAAAGGTTATATTATTATTATTATT